TGTCCACTAAACCGGCTTCCTGAAATAGGGCCCAGAATCTATATCAGCCAAGGAGACACGGAGACCAAGACACCACTCCTGCACAGCTTCTAGTTATGTGATTTCCATCCTTTTTACCCATTCATGAGGTCTTAATGGTGTGCTGATAAGAAATTCTCATGCCTCACCTGTTGAAAATGGTGGTGTTGGAGGAATAGGCTGGAATTCAGGAAATTCAAAGATGGGTCAGTGGAGAGTGGGCAGGCAGGTGAATAACACATGAGTTCTTGTTTCCACTGAGGTGGGTTGAGTCTCAGAGAGGAAAATGAAGTGACTGGCTGTAATCTTGTTGGTTTTATACTTATTGTACTTTGGTATTGCAACATTTGAAATTATAAAATCTACTTTAAGGATACAATATATCACAAGATTATATTTAAGAGAATTTACATTGTACTGTGCCCTGTTTTTCTTTAAAGATACTCTTTATAAGTGCTTGTGTTTAAAATTAAAGCTTCCATAATAAACTAAAACAATCAGCTCCACCTCTTTTTTTTTCCTCTCGTCTGTCCCGTTTGGTTCTTTTGCCATCAGAATTATTGTCTACAGGCAAAGAACGGATTTACTTTACCAAATGGACCATCCCAGCCTTGTTGTATTGGTCTATTAGATTTAATTTTGCTTTTATTGTTTATTTTATTTTATTTTCCCTTGCTAAACACGGGACAGACTTGACTGGGGAAAACAAAAGGAAGAAAGAAAGAGGGAAAGAAAAACAGCGGGAAGAGGAACTGTGATGAAGGGCAAAAAAAACCAAAAACCAACAAAACAAACAGACAAAAAAAATACGTATATATATATATATCAGCTGGATCACCTGTTGAGAAAGAAAAAAGAGAAAACAAGCAAAAGAGAGAGCAATATAATAAACAACATCATCGCGAGGATCTATGTGAATATAACAGTAAATACTAAATATTGACTATTATTGTGCAGCACGTAGGATTGACAGAGCACTGTGTGCTTTGAGGTGGGAGCCAAAAAGGGTGTAGTTTGTGTGTGTGAGTACCCGTGTGTACACCTGTGAGCATGAGCGCACTTGTATTTAAAAGGTTCCTTCATGTAATGATCCGCTAGAGGGTGTGGGGGGCCATAGCGCCGTCCTCCAGGGCATGAAGCAGGTATGGAGGAGATCCAGGCTCCAGACATCCAGAGGCTCTCACAAGAAACCAAGGAAGATCAATGGAGGGGCAACCAAGTCACTATCCCGGAAAGAGCTGAGGAGAGCCCCAGATGAGGGGTCACTCAGCAGCCTCGGGGCAGAAGCCAGGGGGGGTTGCTGTGACGTGCCCGTGAGCTCCGCCGGCAGCCAGCTGTGCCAGAGTGACCGAGCCCCAGGAGCTCCACCTCTTCAGTGCAAATCTCCTTACTATTGCTGCTGTCACTGGGAATAAGAAGCTCAGTCGTCTGAGCAGCAAATATTGGAAAAATCACATTTTATTTTTTACCCTAATTTGTTTTAAGCTACTCACATATTCAATATAAAAGTCTTTATAAAGAAAAGGAAAAGTCTAAAAGAAACAGTTGTCGTCTTGTTAAGGTTCAAATATTTGCACACAACAATCACCCCCTTTATGCACTTTAACATACTTAGATTCAGCATAAGATATTAACCCCCTTACAACAACATATCATCACTAAACTATAAATTTCCTATCCAAATCTGCACTCCTGAACAGTCTGCTATGCTTCCTCTCCTGAAAGCCTCAGTCACACACACACAGGAAGCTTCTTCGTCACCACTCACTCCAGCTAATTTGCATACTGAGTCATATCTCAAGAAGTTGCCGTAACAAGAGAAACACATCTTTAAACATTACCAACTTATTAAATTATTTTATTTCTTTCTACAGTGATCACTGGTTTTGATCACTCAGTACCAGGGCACTCCTAAGTCACTCTTTTAAAACTACTTCAATCACTTTTCTTTTTTCATAACTCACTCCCTTGTCATAAAGCTTCTTTTGGGCTATTCCTCAACTTCAAACTCAAGTGTATTTTATTAAACTTTCACAGCATTCTGTCACTCATACAAATAGCAAGCTGATCTTCATTGCGTATGTTTGTGTTCTTAGCCAGGTTTAATCAATGTCTATGCATTAATCTTCATGAGCTTGTCCTTGTAAGGTTAATGCATTTTCTGCTTATGTATGTGAATTTGCATATGTTGCTTTTTGCAGTGTTTCAGACTCCTCCACAATTCTCCACTTAAACAGTCAGTTTTCTCTTTCCCAAAATTTGCTAACCCAAATTTTAAGTTCCCACCTTAAATAACAGCATTCCTGGTCCTCAAACATAGGTCAGAGTTTGATTGTGAGGTTCAGGGACAGGGACACATGGCGCTGTGAACAATTCAACCAGAAACTTGCCTTAACATGTCCAGTCATGTTAACCTATAAGTTTCTTCCGACCACTGCATGTGGAGAATTGATCCAGGTCTGTTTCACCCCTGAAGAAACACAACTGAGACATTTTCATTATTATCATGAGGCATCTGAATGCAATATCAATGCTGTAGATTATATTATTAATGCAATGGTAATGATGATGATTATTAACAATAGCAGCAAAATAATTTCCCTGATCTCCACACT